ATAATCCTTAGCCGTCATTGCCTCAGTTTGACACGTCTTGCATAGTTTCAATAATTTGAATATATATGAATATATTTACCCATCTATATAATAAATAAATATATTATAAAAATCAAAAAACCCGACTACATAAAAGCTAACTAAAAAGATGAAAACTAAATAGTATTTGGGTCAAAAACCCATTTGGTAGTTCCCGTTGATCTAGAATACGAATCTGGATTAAATTTGGCATAGAGATAGATTATAATCTGGAATAGTACATAGATTACTTTTTATCTGGAAAAAATGTAAGCTTCCAGTGTGATAGATTTGTTCTGTATGTGGACAAAACCGAAGCGAAGCATGGGTGAGTCGCTAGTTATGTAAAATCTTTCTTGAAAACCTAAGAATCAACTTAATAACTAAGCAAAAGATTAATCAATTTTCTCTTAAACGCTATTTCTTGCCTAAGGCAAAATATTTTTACTTATGATATGGTCGCTCTACATTAACCTAGTTTGAAGTTAGTAAGCTTACATAATTTATGCCATTAATTAATATTATAGTGAAACATGAACGAATTAACAGTAATATACACATATAAAACTATAAATTAATATAAATGAGAAAAATCAAAACAGTTCAGTACATTTTTCTTCTCTGTTTGTCTCATTAGCGTCCGGCAATCCAGCCTGGGGTGAAGCCAAAAGAAATACTAGGAAGTAGCCAACTTTGATAGGTGATATACCATGCGGATTTTATACCATACCATGCGGATAAGTTCTTGATATTTCTCTGATAGTATAGTGGGTCGTGGGAGCAAATCCATGGTTATTGTGGTCTGCCTCAGCAGGTCATCGGGGCATTGAGGTTGAGTGCGTAAGCGATCATGTGACGCCTCACTAACACGTAGGAGGTTCTTTTGGGTTATAATGTTTATTAAGCGATTTTCTAATCGGTGATTTAGAGATACCTGTATGTATGAAGGTGGTATTCGTTAATAAATTTCCCATCATTAAGAAAAAGTAGAGAAAGGATGTATTTTTATTTAACGCTTATGTAAATAGACTAGCGACTCACCCTTGCTTCGCTCGGGTATGTTTTAACAGTCAGTATGGAATAGATAGACTATATATTATATGATATATAGCTTAAAGCCTTTGTCAATAAACGGGCTATTTAATGCAAAAATAATTTTTCAAATCGGATATGTAGTTCCTGATTTTGGCGCTTTCAAATAAACAAACGAACTCTGCCTTTTTATAATATTAGTATAGCTAAAAATAGCACATCTCTCTAAACAATAACTTTACAAGATAGCTCTTACACAATGCAATAAACCTTATAGAATCACCTGATCCACTCTCAAAGATACCGTGTACAAAGGCTTGAAATACTTACGATCTTTTGAAAAGAATCAGAAAAATAATCCCAGCTTGATGAAAGTCGGCGCGTTCGATAGAAATGTTTGTTTCTCCCTATACTATTAAACTGCCTTGTTTTACGCCACTATTGTCGTTATCGTGTAAGTAAAATTAGATACGAATAGTTAAAATATAATACACAAATAATACAGTTTCTTTTATACTCTTCTTACTTACTTCTTTTTTCTTCTGATTCTAAACTCTATTATCTCAAATTATTTGCAATATTACCATCTTTAGAAACATATAACTATAACTATATCTTAAATAAGAAAATATAATAAATACCCTACAAAGATATCCACAATTATTTAATTAAAATGCATTGATATACAAAAAACTCAAAATACACTCATAGCGTCTGAAAAGTGTCCTTAAAAGAAGTACACCATTCGAAATTGAATTGCATTGTTTCGCTTAAAAACTATTTTATGTGGTGAGTTTAAGTTAGAATTTGTGTTTGGATTATTAAAAAAATCATTTTTGCATAGACAAAAATTCTAAAACAATAGATTCGGTCTCTGTATCGACAGTAATGACTATTTCAATAAGATTTTCCAAAAAATATTTAATGTACAGATTCGAGTCAGTTTGAATTTTATTATATGTATTGATGTTGTAATTTAATTGAAAATACCATATGAAAATAAAACAAGAAAGTTACTGTAAAATATCACAGAAGTCACGCAATCGATAGCGAGTATCGAATTTGCAAAATATTGTTAGAGACAGACCCTAAGTTACTTCCGGGTCGTCAGATTTGTTTTTTTTCTATTTTGTAAACGGTGAAGTTACGTGTTGAGTAAAAACTTTGGGAGTCTTTTCTGCATGATTTAAGAAGGGCAAAGAAAAAGTCGAACCAGAATAATTAAAATTATATCTTTTAAAAAAAAGTTTATATTTAATAAAATTGTGTTAAAGTTTGTACATTGATATTATTGGAAATTGTATTTAGCCCTTTTTAATGTCCCGCTGGGCCTCACAATACTAGAGGGATGAAGGGATCGAGCCATAGTCAAGTCTCGGTCTGTCTCTTCTGTCAAACATGCAGGTTTACTCACGATGTTTTCCTTCACCGTAAGACAAGCGGTCATCATGTTGGCAATGATTCGCAAGTAAAAGAAGGTGCAAAACCCGGGATTGGAACCTATTTCACTCGGTTTCGAAAGCAAGCGCGTTACCACTGGGCTACCACTGAATTATTGGAAATAATATAGGTAGCTTCAATACCTAAAAAACAGATTTTCGGAATATTAGAAATGTAATAATAGAAATTTATCAGTATTCGACTATAATCGGACTATAATCCGGGGATAGCAATAAAAGCGTTTATATCACACTAGCGACTATTTATTCTATTTAAATTACAATGTGGTGTGCCATTTTTACAAAACATCCTTCTTTTCTCTTATTAATCTATCATTCCATGCATACTCATGTCGCAAATCTATATATATATATATATATATATATATATATATATATAATAAAATTGTAACTAAGCCGAATCTGTAGTTTAAATATTTTTTGGAAAATCTTTTTGAAATAAACATTATTATCGATACAGATGCCGAATCTATAGCTTTTAGAATTTTTATCTGTCTGTTACCGCATCACAGAAAAACCACTGGAGGGATTTTGATGAAATTTAGTATGGTGATAGTTGGTTATCCGGGTCAACATATAGGCTAACTTTTTACCGCGGAAAAATAATATTCTGAGAAAAAATACAAAAACTGCAATGTAAGAGTATACTAATATGTAAAACCTAAGAATTTGGTTATTGGTCATCTGAAAGCGGGCGGAGCCACGCGCAATACTAGTTAATAAATAAAACTGTAATTTCAGTACGTTACATATTTTAATATTAGAATGTCTGATGATGTCGGATAAAAACTATTAGAACTTTGAAACCTTTACCTACGATATTAAATAGCAAGTTAGTTATTTTATAGAATATCTACGAAAAAGTCTTTTTATAATTTCTTGAGCTCTGTTTATTATAGACTCATATTCATTTACTCTTATTTCTCTTACCATAAATTTATTTAAGGGTTCCAGCATCTGGTACTATCATCAGACCCTTGTCATAAATAATAATCCCTTTGATTCTATATTTTGTGCCTCTTCGAATTTTGATAACAATTAACTCAAATACATTCATTTCAAGAATTCGTTATAATTTTTGTTTTTAAATAATATATTTTTTACCCGACTGTGCGATGCAAAGGAGGGTAATGTGTTTATTAGCCTATGTATGTATGTTTGTTTTATGTGGTACTCTAGAGACCAAACGCGTGAGCCCATTTTAATTATTCATACGTCGTTAGATTCATCTTGATAACACGAGTGTTAAAAAGTACATACTCGTTGATATCATTGAAAGAAAAAATGGCGGATCTGAGGCACCAATTTGTGTGTTTTAGAAAATTTTATCTGAATTAATCGAGTGGGGCTTCAAAATACAGGTTTTTAAGCAGCTATTAACACCGGTAAATAGATAAATTATAATATATTAAATAGGTAAATTTCTAAAAAATTAATTAAAATTCTAAGAAATCTATTGTTAAATGACACGCCAGTGTGTCCGTGGATGGATTAAAATATATATACATATTATATGTTTAAAAATAATTAAGGATAAGAAAGTCTGAAACAGAACTTAAAATATCTATTTGACCAAAACTAAAAAATTGTAAATAAAAATATATATTTACAAAAATTAAAAAAACTGCTGCAAAACGACTGCGTTTAAAGCGAACTAAAAAGATAAAAACAATTTCACAAAGAAACAGTAATATGTAGTCGAAGACATACCACGTAGCAAGTCTTGCAGCTAGTATAAAACTTGTATGTCTACGGACTGACGGATTGCATAGTAAATATATTTCTTCATCAACTTCTTTTCACCTTTTTAGTTTGCTTGTTATGCTGTAGGGGTTTTTTTTGAAGTGAAAACTTCTTGCAGGTTTGGATGGGGAGTAAATTACGTGAAGTCGTCATCGACATGGTCACGTGACGTGTTAATTAATGCTAACACTCAGAGTGCCGATAGATATCAAAACCAGATAATTCGAGGGTTTACTGCGAAAATCTGCTAAGTGCAGTCAAGTTAGTTTTGAGTTATTGCGTTTTAAAAGTTTATACCTAATAAAAATGCTATAATTTTAGTAGGCCTTAAATACTGTAGTAGTCACAAGTTAGGAAATATAATAAAGATTTCATTTTTGTGTAGTCTAAGTAAATATGTTTGATAGAAGTGTATGAAATAGAGAAACTCATGACTGAGGTAGTACAGTTAGTCGGTTTTACATGTACATTGCTAAAAGGCGCTTAATGCGAGATTATTAATATTTTATATGATTTATGTTGAAAATTAGGTAGCTTCGATATTATACTGCATTTTACATGAAATAATGCTAAACAAGGGAACTTATGGTTTAGTCTGACAAAGAAAATAGTTAGCTGGTTTTACCTGTAAATATTTATTGACTTCCAAGAAATATTAATAGTGGAAAGAATAAATGCACAGTCATGTATGCTAATGATTTATTTTTATCACATTATAATCAGTTTTGATAATAATTAACTTTATTATTCATCTTCACCACTTTCAACTTCATCAACTGCTGGTTCAGGTAATTTGTCAACAATCTGTTTGCTTGTTTTTAAGCTTATAAACCAACCGTGAAGCTCCTCAGGTATGATTAGTTTGTTACAAAGAGAAATTAGATCTTTCTTTTTGGCTTCGCTTATTTCCAGCTGTTCTTGATAGAGGCGATTTAATTGGTCTGGAAATTGAAGATTAACAGCTGCTAAATAATTTTCAGTAGACCGCTTCTTGTTTCGCGTAGAATACGCGTGATTAAGTCCACTTTGGAATGTGGAAGACGTTGATTTTTCTTGAATCTCTATAAAATTAAAATTGTCGCTCATGTCATAGTTGAAAAAAATTTTTCTGTCTTGTCCTTTTACGTATCTTATACGCTTTATCTTCAGCCACTGAACCTGTTTTCCTTTATCATCTTTTGTTCTATTTTTCATGAGAGTATTTGCAAGGTGCTTTAGGTCGAAGAACTCGTCAAATTTAAATTCTTTTACTCGGTATGGTTCTCTTATTATTATTTTCCCATCAACTTTTATGGTTTGCCTACGTCTAGCACGCTTGAAAATAGAAATCCAATCCATCATAGAAAAAACAGAGTTATTTTTCTTAGCAGATTCTATGCTACTATGCATAGAATCTGCTTCCATTTGTGTATGCCCCGATTCCAGAAACTTTTGCTCTATAACTCTAAGATTGTTAATTTTTTGCACTGCCCAAAGAAGTAAAGCAGATACATATTGATTACGGTTTTGCCCGCCACAAGTGTCTGAAAATAAGCTTATTTCTTTGATATTTTCAGGGACACAGTTTGAGAAGTAGTGTAACAGTATACTACCAATTTCAGAGCTACCCTTCCGTCCGTTTACTTCTGACCATGAAAAACAATAAGCGTTATTGGGTAAAGCAGCCTCGTAGATCGTGAGGTTGTATACGCACAACTTTCTAGAGTAATAGAGCAGTCCTACATCGCAGGAGGGTATTTGGAGTACTGATTGCAAGTCAAATGTTACAGAACTAAAATGTTCATCAGTGTTTGATCTGACTTTATCCTTCTCTTTTTCTCTATTGCAAATTTTCTTCCTTTCTTGGTGAGCATTATAAGCATCTTCAAGTTCTCTTTTCTTCTCTGTTTCAGCTTGAGCATAATTAGTGCAAACTAAGCATTGATCTTTCCTGGGTACGAAAAAACTAAGATTATATTCCTTTGAGAAGATTCTGCGATAGGTTATTTCTGAAGCTGGCTCAGAACCATTTTTTAAACATTCATCTCTGTATAATAAATGCATCTTTCGAATATTAAGATTTTTATCTAAATATTTGCGTTGAGTATCTTTTTTACTGTAATGGGCAGCCATACATGGAAATGACTCAATATGTTTTCTTATCCCTTGAATAATGTCAGGTTTCGTTTTATTGACCGGCTCATGTGCTCCTCTACGATCTTTCGCATCAAAACAGTTTAGATCGTTTCGTTTCTGTATTGCATCAGTTATTACTGCAGGGGAGATACTCAAAGTACGACAAAAAAACTTCTGACATACTTGAATTTTATCACTTTGTTTAGTAAAAAAACATTTTTTTGTATATTTCTTTTCTGGTCGTTGTCGATTGCGTACAGAGAGAATTCGTTTTGGTTGTTGAATGGTAACGTTAGATAAAATAAAATTCTTTCTAGCCTGAAAGTCTAAATTCCAAAAATATCTGCAAATACTATCTCTAGTCGTCATATCGAAGGCATCATGGCACTTATATTAACATGAAGAACAATCAATGTTTTTAGGCACCTTAGCAGGCCTGGATTTCGCTTTGATTTGGTAAGGCAGACCATCTGCTCGTCTCTTTTTAGCCACATTACGAGCCCAGTTGTTTGGATTCGATTTTCGCCACCTCTTCGACGGTTCAATAAGTAACCAAGATTTTTTGAACAGCTCAGTCAAAATCTCTTCAACTACGACCATTGATTCGTGATATTGGACTTTATTTTGCTCAATAATTTTAATATTGTTCTGTATTTCTTGAATATCAAAATACTGAACACTTTCATTTTCTTTATTTCCAAGTAAATCTTTTAATGTAACAAGTCCATTAGAATCTTCGTTTTCGAGCTGATGGGAGTATTCCGGCAAGCGGTAAGTTGGATCGTCAGTATCCGAAACGTCGCCAAATAAACTCTCTAATTCCTTTTCAACATCGTCATCCATATATTTTTCTAAAACAAACAATTTTAGATTTAGAATAACTTACAATAGCATCTTATTAATACTTACTTTATTTAGGACTAGCTCTTGCGCTGACGAACTCGCATGTTAAGTTAATAAAACATAACTCAAAGTACTTTTTTATTATTTTTTAGATTATGTAACATAGCTAATAGTATAATGTATTTTAAATAAAACTATCTTTTCCGATTATTTCGCGGATTTATTTCGATGTTTGTTTCCGGAAAAAAAGATAGTTTTATTTAAAATGTTAAATATTCGCGTAAATCTAAGAAAGTATTATTAGGATGTATGTTTATTAGTGAAATAATTTTTAAGGTTAAGATAGTAGTTAGAAATTACTCCTAGCATATAAAATAATGAAGTTTTACCTCTATTTAAAATTAGTATTACGAAAACTTTATTAGCATCGTAACTTTACTTACTTTCTCGATAATTAGAACAGGATGGCAAGGATTCAATAAAAGTATTGGCATGATCAGGAAACTCTATGGTGCTTGAAATATCTGAAAATTAAACAAAAGGTTTCAATTTGTTTGACTACTATATTATAAAGAAAAATATGACAAAGTGAACACTTTATTTCGACAGCCTGGGTCACTCTCGAGTAAAACTTATAAAAAAAAATATTAGGTAGATTTTAAAAATTACTGCTAATTATGTGTACACCAAATACACCCTAATCATTTTCAAAACTCGTCTATACACTTACAGTTGTAGATAATAAAGTATAAACATAATTTACCCGCAATAATTGAACGACGATACTCATTTATATCAGTTGTGTTATTAAATGTAGACAGAATCGCGGTTACAGGGCTTGCATTTGTAGTTGACAAATTTTCTAAAAAATAATAAGTGCATAAGGAAAATATTCACAAATAAAATTTGTTAGAAGATATAACCTTAAATTTAAACTTACCAGTATCAATTTCATTATTTTTAATCACTAAAGAGACAAGTCTTTTTCCTCTTGACATCATTTTCACAAATATCTGTCACATATATTCAATTAAATATTCATAAAACAGTTAAAAACTAATACAATTTACGCAAAAACAACGTTCGATACGTTCGCGGTGAATACTCCTAGTGAACTAAGTTACCGACGGCAACCTGTCAAAACATGTTAAGAGCGCGTATTGCTTTAAACACTAAATCACTGAACATGAATTGTGTATCGCTTAAACTAGCTAGTATAGTCGTTTATTCGCTTCTGCATGTCAACGGTAGGATAGTTATTGTAATAATTTCGTACATGTAAAATGTGATTACAGTTATTTATCAGCTTTTTGCTGTATAATTACAATAGCGAAATAAACAGAGAACTTTTGTTAAATACGATTAAGTTCCTTTAGATTTTATTTCTTGAAGTTTTGTAAGAACATTTTTTTACCTATTAACAAAGAAAAAAAGGTTATGAATCCTTATTTTTTTTTACATGTAACATTTATTAGGTAAATTATTAGCAACGTCGTTTATGATATTTTAGCAATCGAGTATTGAACGATTTGTTGTATATAACTGTTTTTACTTTATTCTATCTTCGTAAGTATTTAACGTAGCACTTAGCCGGTTTTACCAGTATACAGAGTTCAAAAAGATAAGAATTTTCATTTATTTAACTCATTTTTGCTAAAAATGTAGTTTAGCAGGTTTTCGCAGTAAACCCTCGATATATATATAAACAGTTTTAATTTAAAAATTTTAATTTAAGATCAAAGAATTAATTTGAATATCCAAAAATAACAACTATTTGTTTATGGTTTTAAGTTTTCACTTCTATCGGAAGTCCTTATTACTGTTTGTTTTTATTATTTTAATACGGTTTTCCGTATATAAACCTTTTTCTTTCATGTTTTCGTTTTATTATATTTTTTATATCAAATGTCATCAAAATCAGTTCTACTAGGGTAAAACCCAGATAGTTGCCTCAGTTGAATACATGCCCCGGTTTTCAATACGCTATATTAGAGATGTCCCTGATGTTAGCGCTCTTAATAATTCTCTAATCTCGCTCTCGTAATTTAAAGGGCCTCTTCCACAGACCTTAGGACGATGCCAGTAGTGGAACTAGGTAAACATGTTTTGTCCATATGAGCGAAAATCTTCCGCGGCCGAACGTTGACGAGCGTTGAACTTATATTTGTGCGTATTTTCTAATGAATATTTTTTTTTACAGTTGTCGATTCAGTCAACTTTTTGCTTCTACGCGTGTACTGAAGCTTAAGTTACACTACCTATTACCTTAAACTGTCGAATAACTTTTATTTATTTTTCAAAATATGAGAGCAAGTATCCGTAACGAAAAGGATACCCCACATAATTCTCTCCTCCCCCACATAAGTCTCCCTAAGGACAATTAGTGTTGTAGGTACGTGAAATGCCTCGCAAATATGGGTAAGAGCTTAGCAAATCTAAAAGGGCTAAACAATCTGCAGAATTTTTAAATTTCAACGAAAAAATTGACCAAAAACAGGATAAAGAAGAAGAAACAAACATTACAAAAAGAACTAGAATGGAGACAACGAAATAAAAAGATTTTAAGACAGTAAAAAATAAATCAGATGATAGCGAGATGATAATTATGAAGAAAAGAAGTCGAAACAAAAGAAAAAAATCAAAAATATGACGATTTCTCTCGCAGTGAAACAGAATTTGAAAACATACATTTTATTAAACTGGGCGGAGAAAGAGCTTTATGGAGGACAAATAACAAACTTATAGTTCCGAAAGTGAAAATGAAAAAAACATTATAAATACAAAAATAGCCAAAGAAAAAGCTACTAAAGGAGTACAAAAAACGAAGTAAGAAATTAAAGATGATAAAGGAGACTGAAAAGACAGTAAAAGTTATTAATATTAATACAAAAATAGGAAAAGCGGGTTTCAGTTGATGATTACTGTAAATGTTTTGAAGATAACAAAAATAATCCATGTTATACTGGATTGTATTTCCAGGAAACTGGTTCATTATTCCAAGAATATTGTGTGATATGTAGAAAATTAAAAGTTATGACTTCGTAATTGATGATGATTCTTAAACTGTTTTTGGTGATATACCTATAATAACCTACCCACTAATTTTAATATTTGTGTCAAAGTTGATTGCCATATTGTATTTATCTTTAAAGTCAATTATTATTTATAACGTACATTTTGGAGATTCTATTTGTATTTTAAAAGTTGTATTGATTTCGATTAGTAAATACCTACTACTTAATTAATTGATATTAATAATTAATAATGTTTGATTAAATTTACATAAATTTGTTTTAATCCAAAAAAAATGCAACTATTTCATGATGAGTCTTCTATCTCCGCATGAGGCAAGTATCCCCCAAAGCATTTTTAACATAAGGCAACTATCCGCCACAGAGGGCAACTATCCCCTTTTGTAGAGGTCAAATAAAACAGGATTTACTGAAAAACAATATTGATTGTGTTTAAAAAAATATGTCACAATGAAAGATTAAAGACCAATGTTTTATTATATACGGGGCATATTGTAAGCAGATACTTATTTTTTATGTAATTGGAGATTTTCAAAAAGTGGGACAACTATCCGGCTTTTACCCTATTAGTTTCTACAACATCAACTAAACGAATAAATCAGTTATTGCATTTATAATATTAATATGAATTATGCTCGTCGCTTAGAAGTTCCAATGAAATAGTTGCCGTAGCAAGAAAAGTTCTAAAGTAATATTTCTCCAGCAAGAAAGAATTTCATTAAAGCTTTGCAAGATTTTAAATTTAGCAACACAACTTTGAATTTATTGTTAAGCAGTTGTAGCGTCCATCTCGTTATTAAGAGAGGCTACGTCGCGGACTTGTTTACCGGAGGAAACCTTCGTGAAACCTTGACATATATTATGTCACTGCTTAACAAGCAAGCTTTCAATTTCATTTTTTAAGAAAATTAAATTTTATTAAATAATTGCATTTAAAAGTGAATATAATATAATACAAATATATCGCAAATATAAGAAAAACCTATTTACTTTACTTAATGATTCTACCGCCGAGTTTTTAATAAATATGTTGGGATTTGGGACATTAACACACAGGACCATCTAGTTCCATGGTAAACTATGAGGTTTGTGTTATGGATAGTAGATAATTCATGCAATACACATATATTATTTAAATATATGTATTTAGCCCTTCTTAACGTACCACTGCTGAGCACGGGCCTCCCTTCGATATGAGGGGGATCAGGCCATAGTCCACCACGCTGGCCAAGTGCGGGTTGGCAGACTTCACATGTCTTTCGAAAACTTGCTAGGTTCTCTCAAACATGCAGGTTTCCTCACGATGTTTTCCTTCACCGTAAGGCAAGTGGTAATCATGTTGAAAATGATTCGCACATGAAAATATCAGAGGTGCGAGACCCGGGATTTGAACTCGCTTCACTCGGTTACCCATGCGAGCGCGTCACCACTGGGCTACCACTGCCTTTATTTAAATATATACATATTATAAATATAAACTCCCATGATTGGAGTACAAACATTCGTGCTTACCACACAAATGAATTCCAGCGGGATTCGAACCCGCAACCGCTAACACAGTAAGTAGGATCACTATAAACTGAGCCAAACGTGTTATCAAATCAAATATTCCGCAAATATGTATAAGATCATTTTGTATATGTTATTGAAAAACCTATTTACTTTGTACAATGATTCTAGAGCCGAGATTTTAATGTGAAGTAATTTTGTAGGTGACACTTTACTTTTGTTTATACTACACATTTACTATTTAATATTCACATTTTTAAGATATTATCCCTATTTTTAATTTGAGAAAATATCTCATCTTTGAGAACCCGAGCGGAGCGAGGGTGAGTTGCTTGTTCTCATATGTTTTTTTTAGATTTCTAACGAGGTCTAATGACATTTTGTATAAGCCACAGTATAGAATAAGGCGTTAAATGCATAACTTTTAATGAAAACACTAACCAAATAAGAAACGTTAAAAATGGCATAAATAAAATAGCTAACAATAAGATTTTAAATATAATAACAAAAATGTCCATAACAATGAAGAGATCATTGATATTAGAAAGCCCCTTCTAAGTTTGGGGCTGATTTTCAGAATTACTGAGTCGGAATATTTTGCCTCACCAATATTAATATTCCTGCGAAATTCGAGCTTTCGACCTTCATAATACACAGTGCTAGTTTGACACTTGTCGAATTTCAAATTTATACACATAATAACGATTTTGATTATAAATATTTTTTGTATGTGTGTATGTTTGTTACATCTTCATGCTGAAATTGAATGGTTTTTTATTAATTACTAGCAGAACCCGCGGCTACACCCGCGTTCAATCTACAAAAAAGAAAATCTTTGGCTTTATTATATAATATTTTTAATACTAAAATAGCGATAAAAACATGGGGGGTGAGAGCAGGACAGTAAAAAATACTTTACAACCTATTCTCATGCCTACCAAATATACAAAAAAAATCATTAAAATCAGTCGAGTCGTTTTGGAGGAATGAGACCACAAACAGCGTGACACGAGATATTTATATATTTCACTTTTACATTAAAAAAATGAAATGTATGTAAAATTATAGCAAAATAATTTTAAGGTAAGACGTCTTGTATGGACCCTTTGCCAACTCGCTAGTAATGTATACATCTATTTAGTTTCCATACAAATCCGTTCAGCCGTTTTAATGTTAAGCAGTGAGAAATACACACACATAAAAACATTCTCATTTATAATATTAGTCCAATTATATATGGAACACTAAGTCAATTTAAAGTTTTATATAAATCCGTAATATATAATATTTAGTTTCTAACATTCTTACTTGACCGAAGCGAATTACAAACAACTGTCATCTCATTTCCTTCTAACAAAACAAATCATTAATCATCATGTTCAGGTGATTCTGGAGACAGGATCCATCACGATAAAGGATTAAATACACTCGGCGACACAAGTATTGAACTATAACGTAATATGGCATTTGTAGTGTTAGTTATTTCTAGCATAATTACCACTTGTCTTACGATGACGGAAAACATGAGGAAATCTGCATGTCTGAGAGAACCTAGCAAGTTGAAAGACATGTGAAGTCCGCCAACCCACACTTGGCTAGCGTGGTGGGCTATGGCCTGATCCCCTCGTATTGAAGGGAGGCTCGTGACCAGCAGTGGGACGTTAAAAAGTTAGTTTTAAATACATATGTAAATACATACATATATACGAGTGCTAGTTATAAGGATAAGTTAATAAGTAATTAAGGGTGAGTTATTTGTAACTTGTGTTCAACAGGGTACACTAATTACGGCGATACCCAGCTGCTCTAGATATGATATACTCGAATCTATTTCGTTTGATAGTTTTTAATGGATATTTCTTAAGTTATATTTAGACTTAAGATAGAGTGGTAATGTATTGTGATTTTGATAGACCATAATGATTACTGAAAATTTGAGAAAAACGTTTATATGTTGTGACACTATGACACAGCACCATCTAGTTCCATGGTAAGCTAAGAGGTCTATGTTATGGATACCAGATAGTTGATACACTATACATATATAACTTTAAATGCATATATATTATAAATATAAACAACCATGATTGGAGTACAAGCATTCGTGCTCATCACACAAATGAATGCCCCAGCGGGACTCGAACCAGCGATCACTTGCACAGCAAATAGGATCACTACAAACTGAACCAAACGTGTCGTCAAATAACATAAATAAACGTATATAGAAGTAGAATTTACCTATTTATATTAAAAAACTAACTATTACAAAAATACTATATAATTTATTAATTGATAAAACTAAACCTTTTCAATACTAAAAAAGAAAGAAAATTGATTGACAAAACAGATATAAATAGGCAAAGACAAAATACATCAGTATCTTATACTGTTTTATTTATTTACCGATTTTCTTTTTTTTTATTTTATAGTTTTAGTGTTATTATTAAATAAATTAAAGTTAAAAAACTAAAAAACACGCTTTAATAATGAACCGAACTAAAAGGTAAATAATAATTTTGAGTATAAAAATAAAGTGATTAACGAGATTTATGTTATTGTAAAAAATGCGTGGGCCGTGGGGTGCTTCGTACCATATTTTTATACTAACTCAACTTTTAGAAATCGTACCAATGGATGTTATCTATACATATAATAAAATTCTAACGAAGCAGAATCTGTACTGTAAATATTTTTTGGAAAATCTTATTGAAATAAATATTATTATCGATACAGAGGCTGAATTTATAGTTTTTAGAATTTTTAGTCTGTCTGTCTGTCTGTTAAGCATCACAGAAAAACCACTGGAGGGATTATGATTAAATTTGGTATGGTGATAGCTGGTTATCCTGGTCAACATATAGGATACTTTTTACCGCGGGAAATGTCTCATTTCTAAGAAAAAATACAAAAACTGCAATGTAAGAGTATACTAATATGTAAAACCAAAAAAATTGGTTTTTGTTCATCTGAACGCCGGCGAAGCCGCGGGCAATGCTAGTAATTTATAACAATTGATATCGAGCACCCCATGCTATAAAAGTGTGTCTTTTTAGTTTTAGATTTTTTTAATTACTATGCTCCTTGGTTCTTATTACATCTGCAAAGTTTCAGTTCAATCTGAAGTTTTGAAATGGGTGAAAATTGCTTTCAAAAATTCCGTCACATAGATACTTAAGCTATTAAAGCGTATTAAAATTAATATTATTATTTTGGTTGATTTTCAACCACTGGTCGAACATTAGTTAGATTAAGTATTTAAAAAATATATTACAACAGATAATAAAAAAAATAAAATATCTTTGTTAAACCACACACAAAGGTTGCTTTCCAAACCCATTAAGCATTTAACTCACGACGTATTACATTCTGCATTGAGATCGTCGCAAGCGCAGACGTTACAATGAAGACCTTTGTGATCGCTGTTATTATTTTACATTTGGTGCGTGGGAACGAAGAAGATTGTGAGTCACCATATTTTACTTTACTATATTATAATAGAATGAATTTTATTAATTCTAAATTAAGTATAATTGCGATAAAACACGCGAATACGCTGTTTATTTTACAATTTTTAACCGACTTCCAAAAAGGAGGAGGTTATCAATTCGTCGGAACCTTTTTTTTCTTTTTTTTTGGTGTATATTCACCGATTACTCGAATACGCTTGAATCGATTTGGATTTTTTTTTGTTTCAAAGGGTATACTTCGGTCGGTCGAAAATCGGTCGAGCGGTGTTTAAAAAAATTAACAATAAATATATTTAAAATAAATTGTTTAATCGAATATGTTATTAAAAAACTTTCTTCTTACAAATTACCTGCTTATTACGTCTACACTAAAAATGGAAAAATAAAAACTTTTTAACAAAAAAAACCGACTTCCAGGCACTAAAAAGTAAAAAATAACTAAACGGAGGTTTTCATTTAGAATCAGATATTTTCGAAGTCGGTGCCAGCCTACAATATTTTAAGATATGAATATGTACTTAATAGGTAAATATGTATTTTATGTATCGAAATATATTAGATTTGCTTTGCATCGGCTGGCACCGACTTCGAGTGAAGCTAGGGTAAATTGCTAGTTTTAAATATAAAATAATTTATTTAGTCATTAAAAAAAACATTATAAAAATCAACCGTATAATTATTATTTATGTAATTACTGTAAAGGAAATGGTTATTATATAAAGACACGCTAATTTAAATCATGTAAATGTAGCATGAAATGAAATTTTTCATTTAATTTCACGCTATACATATCTATAATAATATATGCGAATCAAATATACACAATAATAATTACGGTACAGAAAAACATCGTGAGGAAACCTGCATGTCTGAGAGAACCTAGCAAGTTTTCAAAAGACATGTGAAGTCCAACAGCCATGTTTAGTTAGCTTGGACATGATCTGATTTCTTTTAAACGTCAATTCGAAAGATGCCTTTTTTAACGTTGGGAAATACATTTACGCACGAGGTGTGGGACTCACCGGCAAAGCCAGTTCAACCCACTAAAACCCAACAAAACCTTCCCCCGTCTTAATGGGGCGTCGCAGGATCGCTTACGCATTCAACTACGACGCCCCGAATTCGAAGAGGCCTGAGCTCAGCACTGGGCCTTTAAAAAAACTGTATCTATACATATAATAAAACTGAAGAGTCGAATGCCTGTACATAGAAAAAAAATGGTAAAAACCGAGTCAGGGGGATGTAAGAAGAGAAATAGAACGAATCCGGATTTTTTCATTTTTTTTTTGTTTCTTTGCTTGTTTGTATGTTAATCAGTTTGTCTGTTTGTCTGATTGTACGGGCTAATCTCCGAAACTGTTGGACCAATTTAAGTGTAATTTTGCATGGTTGTATATCCCCGGTCAACATTTTAGATTTAGAGACTAGACTTTTCATACCGGAAAATTAGAGTTCCCGTGGGATAGACAAAAAACTATAGTAATTTATACAGCTTAGTACACAAAAACTATTGATTGGATTTTAATGAAACCTTACAATAATATAGTTCATACATCAGAATACCAAATAGGCTACTTTTCATCCCAGAAAAATGTACGTTTTCCGTGGGATAGTTTTGTTTTTGTTTGTCTAGAGGCGAACCCGAGCAAAGTGAGGGTGATCCGCTAGAATAGAATAAAAAATCTATACATATAATAAAATTCTAACTGAGTCAAATCTGTATATTAAATATTTTTTGAAAAGTCTTATTGAAATAGAATAAATCAGATAACTATACTTGGCCCGACCCAAGATTCGAACCCAGTACCTCCGCCTTATCCTCTAGCCACTAGATCCACTAGGCAATTTAATATATGCATGTAATGTACATATATATACGGCTGTATTTCATTAATTGTTCATTAAACCCTAACATTAATTTCATGATAAAGAAAAAAATAATTTTCTTTTAGCATTGAAATGAATAGAAATTTATTTTGACGTTATCTACACTCGCATACTTAAATTTAATATTTATTAGGATTCCTTAGACTAACGATATTCTCTCCGTCTGTCCGTATGTGATGCCATTTTACACGGAGATATGCAACTGTGGGTAAAAAATATATATTTGAGTACACTATTACGGTAGTGTTACTAGTACAGTATCTGTAAATATAATAAAATTGTAACTGATCGCTGTCTGTACATGGAAGATATTTAAGAAAATCTCTTTAATAACGCAATAGACCCCAAAACAATGATTTTTAGAAATTTTGCCTGTTTGTCTGCTCGTTTGTGCGTGCTAATCTCAGAAATGGCTTAACCAATTTTAACTAATGTATTGTTTTAAGTTTCACTTAACATTTAGTGTTTGTTTTATTTCAATCGGTTCATAAATAAAAAAGTTATGACAATTTAAAGAATCACATACTTTTTGATGTGTCTGGATGGGTCTTTAAAATTTAGATGGTGTTTCTAAGCTAGTTTTTTGTTCAAGCTAATTGAGCAATATAATACTAAACTGTAATAAGCCTTTAATAGTCAGGAACTAAAACAATATTAAAAAACCGTTTCCGTGTTTCCTTCATACTTGTTTGTATATTTATTCTTCCATTATATGTAGAAAACCTTGAAAAATTTGTAAACCGACTTCAAGGCACTAAAAAATAAATAAACATAATAGGTGCTTTATCTATTTTATATGAAGTTAGTACCAACGTTAAGTAGGTTTTAATCGATTAATTAAAATTCATACTATAGGTAGCTATTAAATTCACATTCACAGGTATTTAGTATAGTTGCTATATTTTTGTCAATTCAATTCAATTTTCTTGTTAATGGCTTCAAAGACTATTTTTCTTTTTTTTTCTCGAATTTGGTATATTGATATTAAATAAAATTATTTGCAACCACCTCGCGATCTACTTTAACATAAAATAAACACGCCAGGTTTTTCAAGCTTTTCTTAATATGTACTTTTTTAGCTTTACGCGAATATTTGACATTTTAAATAAAACTATATTTTCGAATTATTTCACGGATTTATTTTGATTTTTGGTTCCCGACGTTTCGAATGCTTTACAGCAATCATTGTCACGGGAGAGATTAAGGTTTTAGACGTCTCAAAGGCGTTATATACATGTTACAGACAGTGCCTACCCAGAATTTTTGTTTTTTTTTTATCTATAAAGATAGCATTTCGAAACGTCGGTCACCAAAAATCAAAATAAATCCGCGAAATAATCTGAAAATATAGTTTTATTTAAAGCTCTCTCCTTTTTTAAAGTCGGTTAATATAGTTTATATATGCCCTATTGTATTAAATATATCTTTTAAACCGGCTTCCTTTACAACTGCAGTTGATAACAAAGACGCAAGCTTATTCAGTGTATCTTCCGAGTATAAATTAAGTCACAAAGAGCTGTAAGCTTTTATTAGACTCTATTGTGTTAATCGACCTATTTCAGTTATATTGACGAACAGAAATGTATAGTATATATCTATCTACACATATAATAAAATTCTAACCGAGTCGAATCTGTACATTAAATATCTTTTGGAAAATCTTATTGAAATAGTCATTATTATCGATACAGAGGTCGAATCTATAGTTTTTAGAATTTTTGTCTAGACATTAACCTTAGTTAACCTATCACGAGAAAGCTACTGGACAAATTTCAATGAAATTTGGTGTAATGATATGATAGCTACCCGAGTCAACATATAGGATACTTTTTACTACGGGAAATTATCTCATCTCTGAGAAATCTATACTAAACTTTAAAACTATCTAGGGACGAACTCAAGCGGAACGAGGGTGAATCGCTAGTAATTTATAAAATCTGTAAACATGACAAGCATTATTTCCATATTTTTAACTTCAAAATAATTTCCTTAAATACTTACATCCCTTCAGGAATATATTTTATATAATACTAGCAGAACCAGCGGCTTCGCTCGCGCTAAAACAGCAAAAAATCTCTAAAAATGTAGTTTCATAGAAACTTTCATCCCCAATTTTACCCCTTTATAGGATGAATTTTGATAAATGCTAAAACGCGTATTAATTTAATTTTATTGAAGAGACATAAATATTTTTCTGGATTGTATTATAATGTGTTTTCCTGTGAGAATTAAATAATCTCCCGCGGTATAAAGTCAGCCTATGTCACTCTCCAGCCCTCTAACTATCCCCACACAAAAAATCATGAGAACCCGTCTCTCCGTTTCGACGCGAAAGAAGGACAGACAAACAAAAAAACAAACACACTTTCACATTTTTCTAATATATAAAGAGCTATTGCTGTATTTATGCTATTTGTTATTTGTATATTATAAAAAGAGCTGTAAATAAAATTCGTTGCGCATTCTATACAAAATCAATAATCGGTGAACGCGTCATACTTATGAAACGTTCTTCCTTTATAAAAAAGTTAAATCTGTAGACATTTTCAAACAGCCTATTTACGAATACCTGTATAATCTATATATATATATATATATATATATATATATATATATATATATATATATATATATATATAAAAATGAATCCCTATTTCCCTTGGTCACGCCACCACGCGTGAACGGCTGGACCGATTTAACTATTTTTTTTGTTGTGTTTGTTATTATCAGGAGAAAGTTCTTATGAAAGAAAAAAAATTGAAAATTATGCGGAAAATTATAAAATTTAAGAATACTTATTTAAGAATAGAAAAATAAGTATTAAAACATCAGAACAATTAACGGAACAAAAAATTAAAATGTATATGGCTAAGGTTGGCTAATAACTATTTATATCTATTTAAAACGTACCTAGCTATGAACCCGAGCGAAGCGAGGGTGAGCCGCTAGTTTATAATATATTTATATATATTTAGTATTTTATACAATTGTTTTACGTTTTTACTCATAAATTATTTAATGATACTATTTTATTTGAATTTGAATGAGATAATCTCCCACGGTAAAGAGTAGCCTATGTCACTCCGGTCCTCCAACTATCTCCACATGAAAAAATCACGCCATTTCATCAATCCGTTTCGACGTGAAAAAATGACAAACAAACAAACACGCATATTCACATTTATAATATTAAGTATGGATATGGGTTTAAAAAGCATTTCCTCGCAGCTACAACCGTGTCGTTTAATTTTGTAGAATATCTCCGCTCTCGTAGGTCGTACTGCGATGTTAGGTAACCTATAACCTTCCTCAATAGGCTATAATTACCCAATTTTTTTAATTGGACCTGTAGATCCAAAGACTGGCGCGTCCGAACAAACAAATTTCTGCTTTATAATTATATTACACACAAGTGATCATTGAATTGATACAATGTGTAAAAAGAAGTAAATAAAAATAAAAATATTAGTATAGATTATTCACTTTATACTTTTTCAATTTCTTTTGTGAATCAACTTCAAAAAAAGGAGGTTATCAATTCGAAACGTATGTATATAATACTAGTGACTCACCCTCGCTTCGCTCGGATTCGTCTCTAAGTTGATTCCCCATACAAACTTACATTCCCGTTTTCAGCCTCTTAAGGAATGATTTCCGGGATAAAAACTATCCTATGTTCTTCCCAGGGTCTCAAACTATCTTCTTACCAAATTTCATCTAAAGCGGTTTAGTAGTTTCGAAGCTTATTCAGTACAAACAAACAAATCTTTCCTCTTCATAATGTTAGTATAGATTATTGGAACTGCATTATATTCACGTATGATTATAATCAATTAATAGAATAATATTTGATAGTTACTTTTCTTAAGTGTTCACATCGATTAAAAAAAATATAGGCCCCAAATTTTTTTCGTGCGTAATTTTGTATTGGTAGTTCATATCGAAATATTATTTCATATTTTTAGTTAATTTCTTTTTCAAGTCCATTTTTTTCTATATTCGCTCAACCTTTGCTCAATTATGTGGAACGAAACGTTATTTTAGTGATAAGAGCTACTTATATAGATATAGTAGGCTAAGGTTACTATTAGTATAATGTATACATATAACTGCCTCGGTGGTGTAGTGGCTAGCATGTACGGCTGCACACCCGGAGGTTCTGGGTTCGAGTCCCGGGTCGGGCCAAGTTTAGTTATTGAGACTTTCTGTATAGTAAGTCTCAGTAACAGCCCGGAGTAGGAAAGTAGACTAGCCAACTGCGCAGGAGATATTATAGTGCACAAGTGTACGCGCTGACACAAGTGCACTCTCTATTCCTGTCACTCTCATACTCTGGTGGGACGACTGCTCGACACGACCAGTGAGAGTTAAGGCGCAGGACCAACGGCTTTACGTGTTCTCCGAGGCACGGGGGTGACACACCGCCAACTTCCCAACTCCGGGCTGTTACTGAGGCTTAGTAAGAAAGACTCAATAACTAAACTTGACTCCAGCCGGGACTCGAACCCAGGATCTCCGGATGTGCAGCAGTACATGCTAGCCACTACACCACCGAGGCAGTTAATAATTATAATATCATAAGTACTACATGGAATATAAAATTGTAATTGATATTGATATTTTAAATTAAACTATCTTTTCGGATTATTTCGCGGATTTATTTTGATTTTTGGTTCGCGACGTTTCGAATGCTTTACAGCAATCATGGTCTCGGGTCAATTTTAAATTTTTATGTTACACATAGAATAATTATGTGGCTCAAATAATTAATATTATATTTTATATTTTTTCTTTATGGTTATAAATATAATAATGGCAACACTAAATATAGATTACTTATTATTATTATTAATATTTTTAAAATTGTAATAATTATAATGATAACAGCAAAAATTAATTAAATAATATTTCATATTCAATTATAAAACTAATTAAAATTATAAAAATGTTTAAAGTTATAAAATATTGTAAGGTACCTGGTGCAATTTTTATATATATATACATATATATATATATATATATATATACCATAAATGCAACAACTATGAACCAATGTCTTATCGAACTATTAAGAAGGATAAAGATCATTATTCAATCGTCTTTGTCTGCTTGAGTCATTGCTCTAGAAAACGTGATTTCCGTTTTGATAATCATGTTAACTCAATTTGAGCTCTATGCATCGGTAATAAGAGCTAAATTAAATTATATATTTAAGCAAATCTGCACTCGCTTTTTGGTATTGTGATATGCTTGTAATAAATTGGTAATGTACATATGTTCGTATTACAAATCACTGGATTTACAATAGACTGTTAATTAATTGTAGGTAATAAGTGTGTTTTACTTTATTTACGGCTTTGGTCTTGGACCAAGATATGGGATCTTATTACCAAGATTCTTCGTAATAAGATCCCATAAAAGATAGAAAGCATTAATAAGAAAATAGAATTGAATCCTACTTATATCTTTATATCTATACTAATATTATAAAGAGGTAAAGTTTGTGAGTTTGTGAGGTTGTAGGGGGTAATCTCTGGATTTACTGAACCGATTGAGATGAAATTTGGTATTAAGATAGTTTGAGACCCTGGGAAGGACATAGGATACTTTTTTATCCCGGAAATAATCCTTTAAGGGGTGAAAATGGGGATGAAATTTTGTATTGGGAAGCAAGGTAGGGGCGAACCCGAGCGAGGGTGAGTCGCTAGTATATTATAAATGCAAAAGTTTGCGAGGATGTATGGATGTTTGTTACTCTTTCACCGCAAAAACTATTAAATGGATTTTAATGAAACCTTACAATAATATAGCTCATACATCAAAGTAACAGAAAGGCTGCTTTTTATCCCGGAAAAATATATTGATCCCGTGGGACAAATTTATTTTTGTTTTTCTAAAGCTGAACTCGAGCGAAGCGAGGGTGAGCCGCTAGTTAAAAATATATTGAAACAAAAGTATGAGAAATATAATAAGATTTATTGGTCCCGATACGCTAAGTTTAACTCATATTATAACATACTATCATTCGAGCTCAAAATTTATCTCTGACATAAATACAAAATTACAAGAAATTTTTACATTTATCTATATTCTATACAGATAAATAAAATTAAAGTGACTGTTCGTTGTCATAATAACAGCTATTTACTAAATGCATATGAAAGTACGAGTAGGTATATACAGTACTTTTAAGAATAACACAACTTTTTAATTTTTTGTTTGTCTGTCTGTCTATTTGTACCGGCCAATCTCTGGACTGAATTCGACGGGACTTTTATTGCCAGATAGCAGATTTTATAAATAAAATGAATATGTTGGGATATTAACACACAGCACCATCTAGTTCCATGGAAAGCTACGAGGCCTTTGTTATGGATACCAGATAGTTGATACAGTAAACATTAACTGCCTCGGTGGTGTAGTGGCTAGCATGTACGGCTGCACACCCGGAGGTCCTGGGTTCGAGTCCCGGGTCGGGCCAAGTTTAGTTATTGAGTCTTTCTGTATAGAAAGTCTCAGTAACAGCCCGGAGTTGGGAAGTTGGCGGTGTTTCACCCCCGTGCCTCGGAGAGCACGTAAAGCCGTCGGTCCTGCGCCTTAACTCTCACTGGTCGTGTCGAGCAGTCGTCCCACCGGAGTATGAGAGTGATAGGAATAGAGAGTGCACTTGTGTCTGCGCGTACACTTGAGCACTATAATATCTCCTGCGCAGTTGGCTAATCTCAATGAGATTGGCCGCCGTGGCCGGAATCGGCTAGGAGAACATCATCATCATCATCACAGTAAACATATATAACTTTAAATACATACATATTATAAATATAAACACCCATGACTGGATTAGAAACATTCGCGCTCATCACACAAATGAATGGCCCCAGCGGGACTCGAACCCGAGACCGCTGGCACAGCAACTAAGGTACTACAAACTGAGCCAAATGTGTCGTCACCATCATAAGTAGTAATTAAGCCTACTTTTATCTTAGAAAAAGAATTAGGGTACCACTCAAAAAAATTAATACGTATCTAGGGACGTATGTCGCAATTAATATTATACTTTTGGCATCTATGTTTGCAGTTAAAATTATCGACTCTATTATCCAAGAGAGACCATGTGCGGAAGCAGGCGGTATGTGTACAGTAGCAGAAGATTGCCCAAAAGGTCACCTTGCAGAAAGGCAAGGGCTTTGTCCAACACAAAAGAAGCAAGGAATTGACTGCTGTCATGGAAGTAATTTATAAAATATTAATTATCCTATATGAAATCAATTTTTTCTTCATTCTTAATGTCCAGTGGAACTACAATTCAATATAACCGGTAAAAATTGTGGCACAGGATAGCTTTACATGCTCTCCGGGATACGAGGCTAACAAAGTTTATTGAGGTTTCTTATCAGAAAAACTCGATAAATATACTTCCGAGTAAGGAATCTAACCCACCCACGGTCTCCAGCCATACATGTTAACTTATTGAAATAATCATTATTATCGATACGGAGGCCGGATCTATAGTTTTTAGAATTTTTGTCTGTCTGTCTGTATATCGGTCTGGGAATGCATCATAAGAAAACCACTGGACAGATTTTGATGAGGTATGATGATAACTTGTTACCTAGGTCAACATATAGGATACTTTTTACTGCGGGAAGATATTTCATCTTTGAGAAATCTATTATTATGTTTTTATTTACAATGTTGAATGTTAATTTAGGAAGCAATACAGAAAATTAAAATACATCTTCATTCTAGAGCTCTTTGATCGACCTCGAAATGAATAATTTGTTATTTTCTACGTAATTCTACTGTTATTTTAGTTTCAATGAAAGAAACCCGCTGTATTAAGCACGGCGGAGTGTGCATGAAACCGGAAGAGTTTTGTAACCCAAGCCTCGTCTTCGATGGAGCCACTGATTGTGTTGATAGAAAGTGCTGTATAATGACTCTTTAGATTTGTATATTATTAATTTAACAAACAAGATCTTATACTAATGAAATGTTTGGATATATTTTTAAATTAGAAGGAGAATTCGATTCAAAAAATGTTATAATATTTATACTGAATTAAATGTCTAATATTGGGCTTTGTTTTTTTATGGGAAATTGCTTTTGAGGTTCATCTGTCAGATAAAGTTAAAAATATGGTTAAATTTTAAGTATTAGCTATATAGTTGTTAAGAAAAATATTGAAGTTTAGATTGTTCAACACATACAATACATAAAAAATATTATAATACTCTCGCTTCGCTTGGGTGTTTCTCTAAGTGCCTAACAGTAAGCCTTACTCTATAGTCTACTCTATAGCAGATGCTTACTAAATTTCACCCAAATTCATCCAGTCATTTCAGCGTGAACGAGAAGAGATAGAGAGAGAGAGAGAGAAGACAAATACAAGTAGATATATTACACAACCAATTTTATTATAACGTCTGGGCGTATAAGCTGTCAGTTGAATTGCAATTAAATTTTTGCATTTTGTAGTACACCTGCAGATTTTTAACACATGCAGCGCGTAAGTTTATTATTTTTTATTTTATCAGAATAAATACAATAGTCGCGACTATCCTATAAAAGATATAAAAAACACTTTAAAACAGTTCTCAGCACCATGCTTTATTTTTTATTAAACAAACTCTTTTTTTTAATGTTGGGAAATGCATTTACGCACAACACCTGTAAAGTGTACATACATACAAGTGATTATGTTGGAATCACTGAGTAGAAAAGCCAGTACTACCCACTAAAACCCAACAGAACCTCTCCCACCTTAATATACTGTCATACAAACCCTTGACGTACTCATCTATATTTAGCCTACAAAATTTAAATATGTATATGTAACTATACCAAAAAATGCATTATTACGAGTGTGAACGTTATTCGTAGCCTTAATACAATACAAAACCAATAAAGTCGTTTAAGCAAGCGTAACATGAAAATATAATAAATATGCTGTTCTACTTTTACTTTGGTAAACAAATCTATACCATATATATATATATATATATATATATATATATATATATATATATATCTATATATATAATCTATACCGAGTCAGGAGTATGTAAGAAGACAAATAGAACAAATCCAGATTTTTTTCAATTTTTTTGTTTCTCTGTCTGTCTGTTTGTACGGGCTAATCTCCGAATCTATTGGACCAATTTATATGAAATTTTGCATAGTGGCACCATATATCCCCGGGCAACATCTTCGATACTTTTTGTCCCGGAAAATTAAATAGTTTCCGTGGGATAGTTAAAAAACTATAATAACTTATACAACTTATGCACCTAATTTAGTAAAATTTAACATTCTGATACCTTATATTACTGGTCAAACAACAGGTTACTTTTCATCAGGGAAAAATGAACGGTTCCCGTGGGAACTAATAGATGTCTATGAGTGTTTTTCTAGAGGTGAACCCGAGCGAAGCGAGGGTGAGCCGCTAGTCAATAAAAAAATTATGTGATAAACTCGCATTCACCTCTTATCGCTTAATTTTATACTTATACAGCTGCAGATATAGAGTAGTGCGGTGTTATTTTACTGGAGGATTATAGTTTTAATGCCCAAATATGTATGTACTACAGATGATACGTAAAAACTCGTATTTAATATATGTACATATATACAATAATAAGTGCTCCTGACTGAAGCAGGATATAATGTGTCATATGATTCTTGCAGGAGATATTTTTACATAGTGTATATACAAAGGTTAAGATGCTACTGAAAAATTCTTCAGAGAAAAATCTCGTAACGCTAAACTTTTTGTCGCAACTCTCTGTGTCTCTCTTAAATTAACGGAGAATAGAACCCAGATCCTCATGACCTACAAGTATTTCAGCTTGATCAACTATTTAGTACTAAGTTATTATAACTGAAAATGAAAAAAAAAATCGATGTTAAGAAACAATTTTGCAGGAAGCGTAAAGCAATTTATTTTTTTACATCAGTAACTAATGTTAATAAGAAAGGAATTTCTGAAGAAAATTGGGGTAGCGATTAATCCAATATAGCCGATATTGGTATACGGTCAACTTATTAGGGCTACATTCTAACCCTCTGATGTCGGGGGCTTAGATTATGTCTTTATTCTCTGATGACGTATTGAATCCAAGAAATTCATACCAAATTTATAAATATAAATATATATTATAATAAAATTATAACTAAACCGAATCTATATATTAAATATTTTTTGGAAAATCTTATTGAAATAAACAATATTATCGATATAGATACAGAATCTATAGTTTTTAGAATTTTTGTCTATCTGTCTGTCTGTCTGTCTGTTACCGCATCACAGAAAAACCATTGGAGAGATTTTGATGAAATTTGGTATGGCGATAGCTGGTTATTCGCGTCAACATATAGGATACTTTTTACCGCGGGTAAATGTCTCTTTTCTGGGAAAAAATACAAAAATTGCAACGTATACTAATATGTAATACCTAAGAATTTGGTTTTTGGTCATCTGACTCGGGCGGAGCCGCAGGCAACGCTAGTAAATATATAAGTTTCTATGTCATTTTAGACTTGGTCTACGTAGCAAGAAATTAATGTGATTTTATGCTATCTATAATTATTTTTACGGTAAGGAATTTTTATTTTGGTACGTAATTGTGCGCCCTTAAATAATGGTCACATATTAAATTATACCAAGATTTATATCTCATAGGGTAAAATAGTCAATTTTAAAGTGATTCTGAAGCCACTGCCGACGTTACTGAGTCTTTTCCATCTTAATAATGTGAAGAAATTAGAGGGAGAGGGGAGATAGCAAATATTGTTTTTTTTATGTTGACACATGCATTTTTCCATACCACCTGCATACATATAGGTGACTGCATACATACACTTGGCTTCACGCCCGGCTGGGTTGCCGGACGCTAATGAGCCCCCACCACGACAAGGTAAACACAAATCGGGTAAGAGATAGTTAATATCCTTTTCTTTTTAACGTTGGGAAATACATTTAGGCACGAGGTCTAGGACTCACCGGCAAATCGAGTACTACCTAGTACCCACTAAAGCCCAACGGAACCACCGCCGTCTTTATGGGGCATCGCAGGCGACCACAACACCATGGGGTTGCTCCACAATCCACTCTGTTGTCAAAAGTGAACTTAGATTAGATAGGGAGGGGTGTGGGGGGGGTGAGGGAAGGTGAAATTGGGGAACTACTTTTTACCCAGTTTACTTTTATTTTATTGTTTTAGTTACACATATCACATTTTAGTTTTATAGCGACGATGAAGAAATTTTACATAACACAGTCTAATAAGTAAAATAATTAGAAACGAAATTAAACTTACGATGTAAGTGCTAGTGATAATTAATTTTACGACCCTATTACGGGTTCCAAATTTTATTCCTTTAACAATTGAGATTACAATCTTTGGAGTTAGGAGCGGATTACGCCACTTTAACTCTAAACTGCCCATTTAACCTTTTTTGCAATTAACTGCGACAACTTAATGGTATCTGTAATGAAGAGCTTTTTAAAGGTGTGTTTAGTTTTTTTGTTAGCAAATAAAGTTTTGTCTAAACCTTTAGCCTATGTTATATCGCAAAGTTGGATAAAAAGTGTGAAGTATCTGTGACTATCTGTCTGTAAGATCGTTACCACCAAATAGGTTAACCAATTTTGAAAAAATGTCTCCTTGAGATATTCGATTAAAATTCCTCCTACTGATTGCAAAAAAATAGCATTTGACGACACGTTTGGCTCAGTTCGTAGGACCCTACTTTGTCGGGGGTTTGAGTCCCGCTGGGGGCATTCATTTGTGGGAAGGGCACGAATGTTTTTTACTCCAGTCATGGATGTTTATATTTATTTTTGGTATTAGTTTTTGTATCCATAACACAAGCCTCGTAACCTAGAATGGAACTAGATGATGCTGTGTGTTAATGTGAGGGATTAATCCCTCAACGACCGTGGGCACACCGGTGTTACAGTTAACAATTAATTTCTTAGAAATTTAATTAATTTATTAGAAATTTACCTGGCGGAGTAAAGATGTATGTAACAAGGAAAAGATTTAGCAAAGACACAGAAAACGTTATATTCAAAAAAGTAAAATATTGCCTTTACATTATTTTAAAAACGCTTTGTCAATATATTATGTCAATAACAATATATTTTATAATATGTAATATCCTATGGCCTAATCTCCCTCGCATTGAAGGCAGCCCATGCCCAGCAGTGGGAAGTAAAAAAGCATTTTTTTTTAAAACCCACGATGGTTAAAAAGTAATTGAAAAAGGATAAGATAATTTAAAAACCCTCGACTTAAAAAAAAAATGTAACGCGAGATAAACTCAAGCATCTCCGTCGGGGGCTGCCATTATTAACTAGTTTTGCAGTTTTATAGTATGTATTCAGCCCTTTTTAACGTCCCACTGCTGGGCACGGGCCTCCCTTCAATACGAGGGGGATCAGGCCATAGTCCACCACGCTGGCCAAGTGCGGGTTGGCGGACTTCACATGTCTTTCGAAAACTTGCTAGGTTCTCTCAGACATGCAGGTTTCCTCACGATGTTTTCCTTCACCGTAAGGCAAATGGTAATCATGTTAGAAATGATTCGCACATGAAAATATCAGAGGTGCAAGACCGGGGTTTGAACCCGCTTCACTCGGTGTCCCAAGCAAGCGTGTTACCACTGGGCTACCACTGCCTAGTTTTATAGTAACGTGAATAATTTGAGTATGTTTTGGAGAAAAATGGCAGCATGTATTTGCACAAACACACACACAAACAAATAAACAAACAAACAAACAAACAAACAAACAAACAAACATCCTCTAACCCCAAACGCATATACCGTCTCCGTTCCGTCGTGGGTAAAAAATCATCATCCTCACAAGCGTTTCGCGTTTATAATATGTAGGATTTAAATAACTCACCTCACGTGAACCAAACTGTTTTCTAACTTGTCTGC